AAAGAAAAGGACATCGCTTACACTATGCTTAAATAAACTGGGCAAAAACTTCTCACAAGCTGCTGTGGGACTGAAGATTTGCAGAGGCTCAAAGGGCTTTGGATTTGTTCCTGAAGACATGATTTCATCCTATTTAGAAAAGCGCTATCTCTAGTTCCAGACCCTGGGTTCCAGGTCACGCAGGGCTGGGCAGGGACTGTGGTACCCGCTGCTGCATCCTCACCCTGCCCTCGCCCTCTGCCACGGGCACCCTGCAGATGGAAAACTGGCTAGGCATGGCTCCGACCAGGGCTTTAGGAGCCCCATGATCCACATGGAGCAAACCACATCCAACGTATCCATCTTTCTGCAGGGTGAGTTCCCAGGCTTGTTGCATATGGAATGATATTTCTGGATATTTCTAATTAGCCCGTGTGTGTAGGAACTTTGGATTTATATAACTGGATTTTCAACTCTTCTTTTCCTCATATCAACTTTACTTAATTGAGCTATTTACCCAGAGATAGCACCTGTGTAATTCAGGCAGGAACGCAGGCATCAGCACTAGTCGGATAAGTATTTAAGCGTTTTGTAAGTCAGAGATGTGAGTTTAGAGTTAGGCTTATGCTTAAGCAATCCCTTGCTGCAACAGGGCTTTATGAACAGCTGTGTCCTAAGTAGCTCATTTCATTCTCCCTTCTCCTCCTTTCACAGGGATGCATTTATCACATATGCTTCAGACCTTTTGCTTTCTGTCCCTCGACAGGTACTCATGTACTTATTGAGAGAAGTCCAGTTTTCCCAGCAGACAAAATATTCTACTTGCACTATATTGGACAAGTTAAACTTCTCTGTCTTGTCGCAGTACTTGGAATTACCTTGTCTTCTCATGCAAATGCTACGAATTATTATCTATAGCCTTCACACGGTCCAAAGTGTTGTGAAAAGTAATGGTTTTCAGCAAGCCTTTCAGCAGGTGAGACATGCATTTCACAGCTTCTTTTTAAATCGTTTGTTAGAGCTTGATCCAAAGCTCATTAAAGGAAATATTCCCATTGCCTTCAGAATCACAGTTCCATTATGTGAAAGACAAATGGAAGAGGAAAAAGTGCAGCCCCTCTGAACCCACCCACGGGGTAAAGTTGTGGCTCGGAGGAAGTTTATGGCAACTTTGCTGCCCATGGCAACTGGTTTGGTATTTCACATTGCTTCTTTTTTCTTGAATTTGAAATGCATCCTCTTGATTTTCTGCTGTGCTCTGCTTTCTCGTCCCTCTCCTGACACAGACCTCAGTACAGTTGGAAATCACTCACTTTTTTTTTCCCCCTTTAATTCCCTTCTCTGCTAACTAATTACTCTGGAGTCCTTTGTGCTTTTACATAAATTCTGCCCAAGTATCTTATTTACTGCTGGCTCCCTAATTGTCTTTAGGTAGTGTGACCTCTGTTGCAAACAACTTTGAAGCTTTTATTAGCTCACGGTTTCTCTTTGCTAAGCTCTGTTTTGATCCATTCAAAGAGCCTTTCCATCCTCAGCCTGCCCAGTTGCTGAAATGTTGTTTGAGAACAGTATTTCTTCAGAACAAATGTTACCTTGTGAGCTCGTGAGTGGGTACAAACCCCTCCTAATGGATAAACCAGGAAGCTGGGTATTATAGAATCATAGAATGGTTTGGGTGGGAAGGGACCCCCAGAGGTCACCCAGCCCACCCCCCTGCAGGAGCAGGGACACCTTGAACCACATCAGGTTGCTCACAGCCCCGGCCAACCTGGCCTGGAATGTTCCCAGGGATGGGGCCTCCACCCCCTCTCTGGGCAACTCCTGCCAGGGTTTCACCACCCTCACTGGAAAGAATTTCTTCCTTAGATCCAGTCTAAACCTACCCTGCTTCAGTTTAAAGCCATCCCCCCTTGTCCTGTCCCAGCTGGCCCTACTAAAAAGCTTGTCCCCCCCTTTCCTCTGGGCCCCCTTGAAGCCCTGACCGGCCGCACTCAGCTCTGCCCGCAGCCTTCTCTTCTCCAGGCTGAACACCCCCAACTCTCCCAGCCTGGCCCCATAGCAGAGGGGCTCCAGCCCTCGGAGCATTTTAGTAGCCCTCCTCTGGCCCCCCTCCAACAGCTCCATGTTCTTCTTGTGCTGAGGGCTCCAGAGCTGGACGCAGGGCTCCAAGTCTCAATTCCTAGAGAAGAATGCAGGGGGAAAAAATCTGAGCTAGACATGACTAAATTTCAGTGAGAAAGCCCTAGCCAGAAATCCATACAGAGCCTGTGCATTCAAAGATTCTGCTCTTTATAATTCTCTATTTTCACAGACTGCCTTTCCTGTGTATTTACCTACATTGGAAGTTTTTGGGGACTGGGTTTGTCTTTTTTTTTAGCCTCATGGCCACTTTTGAATTCCAATTTGTACCTAGAGCTTTTAGGTGCAACTGCAGTAAAAAATAACAAGGCATCAATATTTGATGGTGAGAAAGACACTACGGTCACTTGTTATAACTTATTACTCAGGTATCCAATTTACGAGCATTTGCTGATTCACACTTGAATATCTTTTGATGCTGTTTGATGAAGCCACCATATGTTAGCTAACCAATCTGAGAAGAAATGCATCATTAATGCAAAGAAAATTGCAGAGGCAGGAGTGAAATACTTGCAAATGTCTCTTCATATTTAAACCTGCCTTTGAAACCCTTGCCATCAGGTGTGTCCCCATACCGAGGGGTCTCTCGTTTTGATGCCGTGTTGCGATGCCAGCAGAAAGGCTCAGTTCTTTCTTGCGTATTCATCTTTCCTTATCGGAAAAATGTCATTTAGTTGATACATCGTTATATTGAAGAACGTACTTTGTTGCTTCATATTTTGCTCCTCTCCAGTTTAATATGGATATATGATGGATTATTAAACCCAAACTTATTTTATAGAATCATAGAATCAGAGAATGTTTTGGGTTGGAAGGGACCCCTAGAGGTCATCTAGTCCAACCCCCCCGCAGGAGCAGGGACACCGCTAACTAGATCAGGCTGCTCAGAGCCCCATCCAGCCTGGCCTTGAATGTTCCCAGGGATGGGGCCTCCACTACCTCTCTGGGCAACCTGTTCCACTGTTTCACCACCCTCATTGTAAAGAACTTCTTCCTTATATATTTTCCTTATATATTTTCTCATTTATTCCTTATATATTTTCTCATCATACTATAAATTGCATGCAAAAAACTGCTGCAGTACCTGGTGATTATTGCCAAGGTAACAAAGATTTTTCCTTCAAGCCTAAATCTCTTCCCCTCTCCGCTCCACACCCCAGTGAGTGTGTGCCCAGCACCGCAGGGACATCTCAGCTTTTCTCATTCCTAAATCCACCCCTGCTCAGGAGCAGATCTTTCAGCTGGGTAAGATCAGACAAGAGAGGGAGACATGAAACTGGGTGGGGTGTAAGCAAGAAGGCCACCAGAAAATCAAGTCTAGTGCCTCTCTTAATCAGCTGAGAGGCTGGGAGCACGTAACGAGAGGCAGAACAAGGTCTGATGTGTGTTACACATATAGCTACACGAGTATAAATACCAGAGTGGAACGCAGCAAGACACTGCGATGGGTTTTTTTTGTGTTTAATTGCTACGATATTACTGCCAGCTTCAACTTCTGCTCTTGTTATTGTTCGTTTCCTTTAATAATTCATTACATCGTCCAATCTTATGTTGTTAGTAATAAATATTAAATACCCAAGCTGTGATGCATGAATTAGAGATTTTCTTTTTATAAAAGGATTCTTGTATGAGATTTAAATGTCAATTAAAAGAGGAATATAAAAAAATAATGCAGTGCTTCTGTGAGCGCTGGAATGAATGAAGCCTGGTTTCCTGTGGGTTTGTGACATGCAGCTGGATTTTGTCAGATGTAAGAAAGTGTGGCTTCTGAGCGCAGCTCTTCCCTGGTTGGGTGCAGATTTCTCTGATGCCTACTAAGAAGTGTGCTCCAGCAGTGGCCTTACTGGCAAGAGGGGCTGTACATAGAGACCCTGACCCCATTTTCATGAAACTTCCAGGAACTTCATGTCTTTCAGCCCACTGTCCTGCTTCTAAATGCAGAAAGAATTGGTCAAGAACTTCAACATCTACCAGGTGCAATGGGTGGATGGAGGAACTGTCAAAAAATTAACAAAAGACTACGCGATATTATTTTCTGTCCAAAAGTTCCTCACTTGTCTAGTTCAGCTTTCATTTTGAAATTCTCTACCTTTGATAGATATGTGTTCTGTATCTCTGTGAAGCAAATCCCAAAACCCTGAAGTGCTGTCCTTGGATGTAAAAGCAAAAAGGTGCCAGGCATGCGGTAAAAGCTGACCTGAGGAAAACATACGCCAAACTCTTTACAGACTTACATCCTAAAGTATCTCATTGACATGAAGAAGCATATGAACAAGCTTAGAAATTAATTTTGTCCATAAAACCCAGCAGTGGTCCTGAAATTACTATTAAATGCAATTTACCCAATACTCTGCAAACTGGTGTAAACAACATAGTCACTAATAAGGTGATTTGATGGCCCTGTGAGACAGCGTTGTATTTGATTTGGCTCCTTGGCTCGTGAGATGGCATTTCAGCATCTCAGCTAGTCTGCTAATATCTTTTAATAATCCTGACAAAATTGCACAGGCAGCTGGGCTCAGACACAATATTAGTGTGGCGTAGGAGCATTGGGATCTGAAAAAAAAAGTCCCCCATAGTAAAATATAACAAAATTAAGTAACAAGCTAGGTCTTCCTTTCTCTTGAGACTCAGATTTTGCTGCAACGAAGTTAGCTAGGTAAGTTAATGGTCAACACCATTATGTCAATATAGCATTCTGAATAGAGAAATCAATAATAAGCAGAGGTGAAAATTGGTTGATACATATTCAGCTTGCTGTAGAAGAGAAAAGGCATAACAGAAGCGTTTGAATATTAAAAGTAGCATTGCTTTTCTATTACAGTTCCTGAAACAGAAGTCTCTTCTTCTTCTTCTTTCTTTGTTTATTTTTATTTCCCCAGGGTCATCTTACTAGAGGATGGCGGTCTCAGGCTCTATAACATCACCAAATCAGATGCCGGGGTGTACACTTGTATCGCAACAAATCAGTTTGGAGTTGCCAGAAATTCAGGGAACCTGATTGTGAAAGGTACTTCAGTATTTTGGGGGGTTGAACTAGATGACCTCTAGGGGTCTCTTCCAACCCAAAACATTCTATAATTCTATGATTTTCTTTTGGGCTTTATGAATATTAGAAAGCATGTGCTTGCCTTCATTGGGATGCCCAAGCCTGTGCCAATCAGTGCTAGTATTGACAGGTTTTTACTTGCAGTTAAAGCTGAAACTGAGCTCTCCACTGCCTGCAGCAAAGAAAACCTCCTGACCGCACCACTCCGATGATCAATTTGTTTATCAGGGAGGTCTCCCAAGATATCCACGGGAACAGGGAGTACCACTAATAATGATATTCGCACTGCAGTACCATTTGGACATCGCAGGTATGGCCTGCGCTGTTGCAGGCATGGGGCAGCCAGAGCGGTGTGGGGGCGCAGCGTTCCCCGGGCAGTGTGCTTGGGTGAGTGTTTGCAGCTCATGTACCATTTATATCACATCGGAGACTGCAGAAGAGACTTTAAAGCTGGGGTGCCAAAAAGAAATAAGATGTTCTGAAGTAAGCTGAAAATGTGGTGGGTTTGTTTCCTTCAGCCTGGGGCAGGGATATGTTGCATACGTTCGCTTCCTCAAGATCTCACCCCCCCCTTCTCTGCATCCCAGCTGCTGTGTGCTATTTTGGTAAATAACGCCAAAACAAATCAGAGCCAAGCAAAAACTCTTCTTTGGCCCTCCACAGGACTTTTGATTCTGAATAGTAAAATCGCCATCTTCCACAGCCGCCCCCCAGTCTAATAGCTGCATTAATAACAAAACAAGGGATCTGTTAGGGTATCTGCTACACTTTCAGACCAGTTTTTTTTTTTCCTGGATATTAGTACCTCATTTCACAGGACACCTCTTTGTCTGAAAGCATTTGATTTTTTTTGCTTATGTTTCCTTACATTAGATTTTGGTTTAATTCAACCATTTCAACAGTTAACTACAGGTTAATGTAACTTAACAGGTCTTTTTCTGAAGGGAGAATAAGGAGCATCCTCCTCCTCCATTACCATTATTTTCTTCTCCATTATGTATATGAGATAAAATTTTAATTCTCTCCTTAAAAAGAAAGAGACTTGCCTCTCTGAGAGTCATCACTAGGAACCTGTCCCATCAGGATCATCATAAGAAGCCAAATCCTACGCCTCCCAAGACAAAATGACTTATGGGATCTGATGAAATGTGCCCTAGTACAACTACCTAGTTATGCATGATGTTTCCCAAACTTTGTATGGGTGTCAGCAAGGACTGGCCTGACTGCATAACACTTCCAGCTCCAATGCAAACCAGGCTTTCTTCTTCTATTTTTTTCTTTTTTTTCTCCCTTATTTTTGATTAAGGCACTAAGCGCAGGTAATTGTCTACCAGTCGCATTTTGTAGCACTTGCATATCAGACAGAAAAAGCCTTTAGGACTGGAAAGCCAGGTTTCTTTCTTCTGTTCTTTCCCCCCCTCTATCTTCACTGTGTGACCTCGCTTTGGGGGACCAAGTTTGCCCTGGGCTGCTGCTTTCTGTGACCTCAGCTCTTCTCCAGCCAGAGTGGACTTGTACAAAGTCGTGGCTGAGTGAAGTGGGAGACACAGGGTTCGCGAGACTTGACTGGGAAGGACTTGGCCTTAGGTCTCCTGCACTCTGGACAAGCAGTGTAACCATGAGACTCCAACCATTAGAGCAAAAGGTGGACAGCCCCTGGGTCGCTGTCGCTTTGGGCAGTGTGCTGCTTGCCCAGGAAGGTGTACGATCACAGAGCAGGACCTTTTGTGCGAGATCCCCCGTGGGTGGCAGTCCTTACTTGCTGTCGGCCAAAGCTGCAGTGGGCACAACCAGCATTTGGGTACCTGGCTCTGCTTAGTTTGTCCCGTTGGTCCAGGCAATTTATTGAGCAGTCTGTGTTGCTTTTGGATGGGGCTCTAAGTCCTCTCACTGACAACACTGGCGCCTTCAACACCGAATTCAGCTTTTCAGAGCACCTTGATGAGGCCAGGAGTTTTCTTGTAGACGTTGCCATGCTTTAGCTGGAGGTGTATAAATAACTTCCCTAACAGCAATCTTGTGATTATCAGTTTAAACATCCAGATAATCATGTTATGGGCTAGGGGATACGTTGGATCAAATGGTCATGTCTGCTGTAATTCTCCTTCCCTCCAAAGCTGCAGCTTTGTCTGCTCTGGGGCTGAGCTCCTGGTGTAACCACACACTCAGGCCCTGGTCCCAGTCCAGTGATGCTTTGCAGGGGGGTGTTTTCCCTGCAGTATTTTTCACCCTTCTTTGAAACACAGTTAAATGCATTGTGGAACACATTAAAGTATATTATGTCCAAAGTAGCCCTTTGCTTCACATTTTTGCTGTGCTGCTGGATGGTCTGTCTCCATTAGTAAAAAGAATTTATACAAACTTATTGCTCAGGTGGACTAGTCCAGAGCTGGAGGACATGAAAAGAGATATTGTTTGTATAGATATTCCTATGAGCAGCATAACTGTGCTCTGATCCCTGAACTGACATTAAAAAAAAAAAGAAGGAAAACTGAGGCAAAGGTAGTATTTTTTTTTCTCTTTGCTCCCACATGATCTTCTCAATACAAATGTTTATTATAAAAGTGTTCAAACTTGTTGATTTTAAATGAGGAGAACAAGTTAAAAAGTGGAACTTCTGAGATTATTGTAAGCATATTAATCAGTTTTGCAAAACAGCTAGCGATAATAATGTCTGTAGTTACATGAAGAACACACCATTAAATGTAATTTGTAACTCTCTCTTTTTTTTTCTTCATATTCTTGTTTTCAATGACTTTCGAATGGTTACTGTAGCCTGCAGGCATGACCTCCTCCCTAACCTACTGCATCTGGCAAAAATCTTTTTCAGACTCGTATTATGAAAGAGCAATTAGTGTTGATGCAGTGCAACGTGTGATCTGAGGCGATGTAACAGCACAGCTAGCAATGAATAAACCAAGAAGTTTAGGGTTTAGGCAGCTCTGGCTTCATTAAGGTTATATACCATTTCACATACCACATACATACATCCTCATGGAGTAATATGGGAAAATCACATTAAAACATGAAAAAAACATTTTGTTTGGCATTTATGAAGTTTATTGAAACACTGAGTAACAACATGGTATAAAAATGATCTTGTTTGCAGGGAACATTTGTTTTTGTTTCCCCTCTGGAGAAGTTTTGGCTGTTCAATTATAGGCCTCATTGCTTCAGCATTATTTTCAACTGAAATGTCAGAACTTGGAAAAGCATATCTAATGTGCAAATTAAGTTTATTGCTGCTCATTGAGTTGTTTATTCTTTGTGTGAGAAGTCTTTATTATACCTCCAGCACTTACATCTTATCTATTTTCTTCTCTGGAATGGGATTTGCCATATAATGCATGTCTGCAGTTGCTAAGAAAGATAGATGGATAACGCAGAATCAAGAGCTTTTAAGAAGCTTTTAAAAGTATTTCAGGTAGAAGTCTTAAAGCCAATCCCATAAAAGAAGCGGAAAATATCGCCCAAGTGAACCACTCGACATCAGTGGTATCACTGGATGTAAGCAGGCTGGAACAAAAGATACAAGAGGCTGATAATACCGTAGTAAAATGGATATTTTGCTAACGCTACTGAAAAACAACAGCTCATAAACAAACCCAGCATAATTCACAAAAAACCGCAGTTTTCAATATTTAGCTGGTGGAGGCAAACAGATTCGTGTCAATAAGAAAGTAGACTTCTTATAATACTAACAGCATATCTGTTGGGATTTCTTCTGTTATAAGAAACTTTATGTCCTGATATTCCAAAATCCAAGTTCACTAGAGGGTTGCATAGAATGCATTTTTTTTTTTTTTTTTTTTTCAAAATACTTATCTTTTCCCTAGGGAGGCAATCTATAGGTTTTAACAGATAAATGATTTCTGGAATTTTTATTCCTTCTAATAACATTCTCTAACAGGATTGCAGCTGCCTTATTTCTGGTCTCTTTGAATGTGTGATCCAATACTGACACAAGAAATTACACGACAGACCTAATGAGGCAACCATAATATTATTGGAACCCTTTGATGAAGAAAAGTTTCAAAAAATTCCCAGCCGGTTTCATTAGAACCAGCTGGAGCTAATGGCCCCTTCCTGTACCATAGACAACGGCTTTGATGGAGGCTTAAAGATTTTACAAAAAACAGGACATCATTTTCTATTGGTATTCTATGGGGTTTAGAATGTAACTGTTGAATCTGATTACAAATTCTGTGCAGTCCTGTTTGTCTCATTCTTGCTTAGTCTTACTTTGACCTCTCCATAGAAATAAATTGATTTTATTTATAGTATTTTACTTATTTATAAAATACTGTAATTGTACACAGTGCATTGTAGAGGAGTCAAAATGCACCGATCTTGGTGACCAGCCGTCCAATACAAAGAAGCAGCAGTTACAAAATGAGGTGGCATCAAAAGCCTTGTGGCACTAGAGGTGATGTGGGTCTTGCGAAGGGTAGAGATTTTAAAGAGAAATTTGAAGGACAGGGAGTACTTGACACATGGAAAATTCAGTAGTGGTGAGAAGTTTTATTAATGCTGAATGAACAAAAGCAGAAAAGGTGCGTTTCATCCCTGGTATAAGTGCCTTGATTTGGAGTTTTAGCAGAATGCCCAATTCAAAGAGCATCTTCAGGCTGTCATCAAAGCAGTGCAAGACAGATACATCCAAGTCATCTTTAAGCAAGACAGATAAAATACCAGCAGCAGTTTATACCTGGCATCAAGGAGCTCATCTTAGGCTCTCTGAGACGCCTGGGAAGCTGGACCCTACTGTTTACTCATATCCAGACATTGAGCTTACCAAAGGAAGGCTCAGGAAACATGTTGTTCCCCATCTAATTGACTGGCGTTGTAAACAAGCCTTGGTGGGGCCAGCCCTCTCCATTCCCACTGCACAGGAGACAGGACCCATAGAGGTGACCCTTGCAGCAATTTCAGAGGAGCCAGTTCCCACCTCCTGGTTCTCCCAGCTCCACCACACAGGCCAGATCCAGGGGATACATGAGGTGAGGGACAGCCCAGGCTGATTTGCCAGTCCCTTCAACATCCTCCTGTAAACCAGGCATAACCTTTTGCATCATTTATGAGAAAGTATATATAGAGACACCTCTCCTGCAAAGCTAAAGACAGGGCCGGCAAAACTCAAGTGGAGTCTGGAAGAAAGCATACCATAAACATTCAGAGCAATGTCGAATTTCCACTTTGAGGTCGATTGTGGCATTCAGGGGAAGATCTTGCTTCTTTGATCCCCTGTTTCATTGGCTTTAAAAGCTCAGTGTAGAGGTGAACACGGTTTATAGGTTTAAGGAAGGAGTCTAACAGAATGACTTCAAAGGAAGAGATGACAAGTTTGGAGGACCATATCAGGCCAACAGATCGTGCCTCTCCACCTGCTAGTGGCAAAAAGAAGTTCCAGCTATCACAAAAGTAACTTTCCAATTTTTAACGTATACCAGGGTATTATTTTTTGCCTCTTAACATATACAGCATTATTGCAAGTAATGGAATTTCTCTCCTCAAAGTGTTATTCATGCAGTTCTATTTCAGCTGTGAGAATAAGAAGTACAAGAGAAAAAGCAAGGAAAGAAAACTTTGTGGAGGTCCTCTGTAGTTCCCAGATATTTTTCAATGTTATTCTACAAAAGTTACCTGTACTTCACAATGGAATTACTTCATTTGAGATTTATGGAGCCAAGTTCTTTGCCAGCGTGTGCTGAAATCAGTGGAGTTGTGCCAACAAAGAATATGGCCCTTGAATCATCTGGAATTTATTGCATCTGACACACTGCTTCCAGGGAGAGGAAGAGATTTCTCTAACCTAATGATCGAGTATCTTCAAGACAGTCATCTGAGGCCTTCACATCTCTGCAGTCCTTGACTTCAGACAAACTGATGGAGCTGCCACGATGATAGTTTTATGTGGTTGTGAAGAGCAATCAGAGCACGCAGAGAAACCTGAGAAAGCAGGTTCCAAGTCTGAGCTCTATCTCCCGATGAGAACCTCTGACACTCTCTTAACGATACCAGAAAAAAACCCACCTAATTTGCCTATAATAATAAAAATCAGACAAGTTCTTTCTTTGCTTTCCTTGGAAAAGATTACCTGATGCCTGCAGCAGGTATATCACTGAAACTAGTGAGATCCAGCCTTATTTTAAAAGGTTAGCAGAAAATGCTATTGTATCTTACCTTGTTTCTACTTGACCACTGCCATAACAGTCACTCGCCCAATGCAGCTCAGATGCTGGGAAGAAGCCCTTCAAGTTTCAGCCCATATTGCCTGTCTGTACCCACGTATTATTCAGTTACTGCAACGATGGTGATAGTCTGAATGAAAATGTGTTTGAAGGTAAGGGGGTTGGATGCCCCATCATGCATCAACCCTTTGGACCCAAGGCCTTGGTAAAACAAGAATCTTGACTTTTCAAGTACCTTTCTAACACATAGGGTTAAGTCAGAATGAATGCTGAACTAATACAGCTCGTGCAAATTTTCTTCTCCTCCTCTCACATTATTTTCAGAATGTATTAATATTGTTGAATAGGTTCTGCTCTCATTTTATTCATGTGCCTCTAAATTCTCACCATTTTATAACACTTTCATGCACAAAAGCTTTATTCAAGGGAATTGCTTACAACAAAGTGGTTGTTATTTCTAATCTATCTGCCAGTCATATCAACAAAAGTGAAGCCATATAAACCTATTTTTTACCCTCCAGTGAGCTACTCGTTCCCTTAATAGGAGCTGCAAGTTTGTTTCTCAGTGTAAGGGGTTAAAAAAGATTACATAAATAGTTTTTCTCCCTGTGAAGATATCTTCTTTGAAGCTGTAACGTAAGCAACACTGTGCAGTAAACTACCACTAATATTAATATAGATTAAGGATCTCAATGTATAAAGCAAGAGGAGATGAACAGCAATTTTGCTTTTGCTGCAGTTTCCTATAAGGAGAGATTTTTCAAGTTTGAAGAACCGTGAGCATATTTTTAACAGTCTTAATAATGAATTCTGCACTTTTTGAGCTGCAATCATATCTATTGACTACGGGCTGTACAAAGTAATGTATGCCTAATTTAGCATGTTGCCTCTGACATCTGCTCACTCCAGAGGCACACGGCATGCTCATTGTATTGATACTGCAAAAGTAATAGGCTACAGGCAGGTAAGAGTGCTCTGAAATCATCACCGTATTAGAGATAATTTTCTTTATTATGGAACATTTGGGCCAATTTTAAATCATTTCACAAATGGTACAAAACTCATTCAAGTTCTACTATTTTTATAAGCATGTTAATAAAAAGGAATTTTTTTTTTCTTTTTGTCTCCACAGAAAGGACTGTAATTACTACTCCACCTTCTAATATGGATGTAACAGTTGGAGAAAGCATAGTCCTTCCTTGCCAGGTGTCTCACGACCCCTCCGTTCATGTGGTGTTCACATGGTCATTCAATGGCAATAGAATTGATTTTAACAGAGGAATGCACCATTTTGAAAGAATTGGAAGAGTAAGTTTTTTAAACTCTTTAGTGTTTAATAAAACTATTTGCCACAGTCTTCAGACGACACAAATATTTATCATAATTCTTCCATTGCTATTTATATGCATGGCAAATCACTGTTTCTTTACAAGGGCTGCAGCCATTTATTTTTCTTTCTTAAACTTCATAAAGGTGCTTGAGTTATTTGTGAAGCCATAATAAAAATGTCCACATGAAAGAAACTGATGACAGCAATGAATATTTTAATTTAAAAGCTGAATTTTTTATTAATATTGAGCAATTTATAAAAATGTCCAGTATGGAAACCATGTTGTGAATGATTAGTTTACTTTCTTTGTATCTCTAGGAATCTGTTGGGGATTTGATGATAAGAAATATTCAGCTCCATCATTCTGGGAAATATGTGTGCATGGTACAAACAACTTTAGACAGTCAATCTGCAACAGTAGATATAATTGTAAGAGGTATGTCTGTTAAATGTAGACACATATATCTTCTGGAGGAATTAGCAATGCTTAGCATCCGCTGTTGTTTAAATGGTTCCTAGGATATCAATTCAGCATTTCAGAACTTAAATATTATATATCTTGTACCCTTGGCCCCCAAATTGGAGGGAGATTCTGGCCAGCATGGTCGTAGTGTGCAACTAACCCAGGGAGATCGGTGCAGTTCTGCCACAGCCTCTTTGGGAGGTAAATTTTTCTGGCCACATAGGTCAATGTGGCGGGGCGTAGGGAAGTCCTCTACTTTCAGCAGGCTGCTGTCACCTGCTCCTTGCTGGGCATCTCTGGGTCACTGTGCAGCCTGGGAAAAAAAAAGACACCTGGCGCCTTTCCATTATTTGGACATAAAATGAAAAATTATTTTCTATGGTCAACTAACTGATCATTTTACTGCCAGCAGCGAGAGAAACGACGTTATGAGAGCAGATCCTCTAAACCCGAGCAGAAATCAGAAATCTGTGTAGTGCACCATCTTGCATTCTTTCTAAACCTCAGTTTTGATTAAATTCAATAGAAATTCTGGAAATGTTGGATGGTTCAGCAAAAACCACACTGGGTACCTTTCTTTGTCAGGCAAAAAAAAAATCATTCCCTTGTTTGCAGTTTTCATATTAGAAATATAAAGACATTCATTTTCCTGACTCAAAGTCCTGATTAATTAGAAAAATGTAATACAGGACAAAGCCATCATTTAGAGATTGTGTTGCTTTTATGAAACTGCAGCTTCATGAATAATTCCACTGACTTGAGAAAGTAAGAGTTGCCCAACCCAAGCCAGCAATGAATATTCTCTTCCTAAAACCTTCCTCTTAAAATGCTAATCATATTAGGCCCCCCAGGTCCACCAGAAGATGTTAAAGTTGAACACATTTCTAGCACTACTGCTGTGTTATCCTGGAAGTCTGGAATAGATAATAATAGTCCAGTCCAGATCTACAGTATTCAGACAAGGACTCCTTTCTCAGTTGGATGGCAGGCAGTCGCAACAGGTGAGCAGTTTGAGAGTCACCTTGCATTTTTTGCATATACCACTAGTTACTCCAAAAATAAACTGTCATGACATATTTATTTTACCTTTAGTTCCTGAAGTCGTTAATGGTAAGACTCGCAAAGCAACAGTGGTTGACTTAAGCCCTTGGGTTGAGTACGAGTTTCGCGTGGTTGCCAGCAATAGCGTTGGAGTTGGGGAGCCAAGCAGACCGTCGGCTCTACTGAAAACTAAAGCAGCAGGTAAGTCCCTAGTTTCTGTCAGGTTTTTTTCCACACAGACACATTGCCACCTCCCGGGTGTGAGAATTTCACTGCAGCAGAGCCCCTCACTCCTACGGGGTTACTTACATATCTGCCTGGCATGTTAGGCTGTGGCTGCTATGGCTTCATGACAGCAGACCTGCACTACCGATGCAAGGCGTGCCTGGACATGATTGAGGTACTGCATGCTTTGCTCTCCGGTTTGGAGATCACTTGGGCCAGCAATAAAGGCTGGAGCTGGCCCATGCTTCCTCCCTTTGATATGTCCCAAAATATGTCTAATCCTCATGCCTGAACACAAGCTTTCATTCAAGCAATGGGGCAGCAACATTTGTTTTCTTCCAATTATAACCGCGTTTATACTCTGCTCAGGGACTTGCTTAGAAAACGATGAAGCCAGCTCTCTGGCGTGTCCTAGCACAAGCATGTAATGCCTCTGCTGCAGAGGGTATTTGATATCTGAGCATCGGTAGGGACAGGATATTGGCTTTAACTGGAGGAAATAAATTACAGCATCCAAAGCCCAGTGAAACTAATAGCTTCCACTGACTCCAGGGCGGGATCCTTACTATCTGTCTGTCTAACCTTTACACATTTATCTTCTGGGACTTGGAACCTCATAGGAAGGAGACTCATTTTTGGATGACCGATGCTGTCAGTCCTTTGACCTACTCAGTTTGGTACAATTTATATGAAGCCCAAACCTTTGGTTTGTTTTACGTTTCTCCCAGCTCCCTGCTTATCAACTCTCTCCCACCTATAAAATCAGTATTTATAGGATGGAAAGCAGTGAAATGGAAGCAGCTTTTACAATCCATTTCTCTTCTCTGTTTATCTCATTTGCCGAGCTCTGAAGTTTGGCAAGCTGCATTTCAAGACAGAACTCAAAATACAGTATTGGACATTATACAGCAGAAAAGACATATATCCTTAGAGAGGGGCATCCTTGTGTTTCTCAGAATACCTACAACATTTGTCCCATGGCAGAATTATTTCAAAATGTATTAAATCAGTTGATTTAAATTTAATAAGTTCTTTTTCCTATTGTGGAAGAAAAAACTTATACTGAGTACTGGTGCCAGAAAAAAACTATTTGATCATTAAAACACCAATTTTAATAGATTTTGTCAGCTTTCCAGGCACAGAGAGACATCAAATGAGTCTTATCAGCAGGCAGGACTGCCTGGCCAGTGTGGCAGCAAAGCAGATTGCAGGCTGCTCCCAAGCAAAGGGAAGAGCCTGAGAGCCTCCAGCCTGGAAGGATGGACTGATCCTGCCTGGGCTTAAGTGTCTGGGAAAAGCATGACCGAGTGGTCCGTGACTCCTTCCTCCACCAGGAGAACCACATGCGAGGAGTAAGGAGCAATGTGAAAAGGGAAGGCTAAAGAAAAGCTGGAGGCAGGAAGAGGCCAGATTTTCTAAATTTCCCAGCAGAGTATCACAGATGTATGTTCTCCATTACCTGATTGATCATGAAGTCAAAATTTAGTCCTGAGAAGGTCTTTCTTGCTGTTGCCACCGTGGGGCTTTGTAAAGTGTGATATTCAAAACCTCCTATACTTTCTGTAAAAGCTTTCATCGTTTAAAGCTTTTGTTTGTTTTTTTTTTTTATTAGAGGGATTCACAAGACTAGGGCTGGAAAGAGAAAGAAACAATAAAATTAATATTATTTATCATGGCAATAGCACAAGGAACATTATTTCCTTACAGTGTAGCCCTATCTGAAGCTTAACAAAAGGAATAGACAAACTCGGTTCAGGTTCAGTTGCTTAACCTCTTCGCTGCTGTCTCAAAACATTGCTGTGCAGTGGGAGAAATAACAGATTATCTTTAAATTTTTTATCAGAATAGGAAACTGAAAATAGTATGCCAGTGTGGACAGTAGAAGACTGGCCATGAAAGGGTGAATTTGAACTTCACTGTTCTAATAGCTATTTTGCCAGCTGAAATCTGAGCATTAGTAGATTTGTGGATGCAAATGAGCCACTGTTCGTTTCATTAAAATGGAGCTGAGAATTAATTGAGCCTCTGTTGGTGCACTCAGCTGTAAATTTTCATCTGTTTCTCAACTATGACCCAGTTGAGGCTCTGCTGAGCAGTACTACAAATTTTTTCCCCATGCAAATGTAGTAAGTACTGAACACATTTAACACATGAACTAATTGAGCATCAACCGGTTCATGAAACAGTGAAACACTAGGCTGGAAAGTCTGCTTTGCCATTTTTTCCTTTAATGTAGTTCTTTTCAGTCGCAGATTATTTGCCTCTGATGTGCACAGAGACATTGATTGTGCATGACAAAATTGAATACCTATGCTAAACGCTCCAGAAGAGCCTGTCCATCTGCACTTGCACTCATTTTTAAGACTGCACAACGAAATTATCGTGAATTTTCTACACTTCTAGAGAGGATGCAATCACATAGAGATTTATATGTGGACTTGAATCTAGAAGTGATAAATATAACACAAATTTCTGTAAACTTAAAGGGCTATTGCCTTTATTGCCTCTACTAGAGCTGGGCTAATGCTGGGTGGAAGATACAGGAAAGGGCAGGCGGGCATTGCAAAACTTGCCAAAAGCTCTGAAAAAGCTTCTGAGATATGACTGTCCCACCTATTTCTGACCCTGTCCTCAGCCCTGTCTCAACACATCCCATTTCCAGACAGTGAGAGCTGAATGAAGGGAACAACAAAACAATCTTGACATTTCTAAGAATAGTACCAAGGGTTTGGAGAAGATAAAGAGAACAAACGCCCTCTTATAGGGGGTTTCTGCCTCAGTCAGTTGCAGGGTTGTCCTCTCTTGATGCTTCTCCAGCAGCTGAAGAGGGACATGACATCATCCTTGCAAGGAGATCTATGGCCAACTATGCAATAAGAACAAGGCTGGTCTGTCTATATTCCATCCATTACACCACAAACCAGTTTCCCCAAACTGTCAGTATTTATAGGCTAATGGGGTGGGGAAGTTTATGGAAATATAGAGGAAGCGGCAAGAAATGCTGATATTTTCCTTGCCTCTCCACCAAGAGCCATTTGAGCGATGAGAAGCCTCTTCAGCCTGGAACACCAGCACATTGATTGACCTTGACCCTGTACCTATGGTGCCATATACCTGGAGCAATGCTGGGGAAATCAGGCTCTAATCAATGAACTTTTGGGTGCTTACAGTGTTGGGAGAAGGAGAAAAGCAAATTAAGAGTTTTGAATTTCCTAAGAAAAGCATACAGCCAATTAAAAAAATTAATATATTGCTCCAACAACATGTTTACTGAACAAATGCATAATTAGTAAATCAGTAGTGTTGCAGCTACAGTCTGAATGGAACATCATTTTGCCAATTAGTTGATGAGGCATAATAATGTCAGATACTTGATGCTACTAGCTTCTTTAATTAATTTTTTGAACCAGGGTACTCATGTATCAAATGCATCTGTGGCTTCAGCCTTATAAACTTGAAAATGTGTAAACATAATTTCAGTTCATTTAAAATGTACTGTTGTATAATACAGTCCCTGTTCAACGTGTCGAAAGGCAGAATAGCTGCATGTGAGCTAGGAAAAGCTCTAATCATCCGGTTGACGAGACCCCCGGCACTAGCGGTGGGTAGTTCCAAGCACCAACATCTTTTCTTCTCCAGTTCCTGTCGTGGCACCAACGAACGTCAGCGGAGGAGGAGGGAGCCGTTCTGAGCTGGTCATCACATGGGAGGTAATTGTGAGATCAATTAACCTAAGCTGTCTAATCGAGAACAGTCCACGGGTGAAATCACAGCCCTGCTGAAATCCAAAGGCTTTTGGTCATTGACTTTGGCTGAGCCTGGATTTCATCCTGCATCTGGAGAGAAAACAGCCTGTAAGATATACAGCAAGTTTTCTGTGTTATAGCAAACAATTTATAAAAATAAACAGTTTAAGAGGCATGTTATAAAGATGTTTAGAAGTCTGTATAACCCTCTTATCTCCATTGTACAGGAGGTGCTTAACACACTAATCTGCTTGGCCATTTTCTGCATTAACATTTTTCATACTTTTGTTTACATGTTTTTTATTCTGGAACACTGTGCTGACAAGACATATCCTATTATGCGTTAAAGGAGATGAGCCCTTTAATTCTCCAGCACTCCAGTGAGAGGAGAGAATATACATTTTCAGAACAGTTAATACCACATTACAAATCGCAACGGGTGAGTGCAGGTCATTTCAGCGAGCAGAAAGTAAGCACTGTGGGAAGGAGCCCTCCTCCTCTGGCCACCCAGAAGCCTCCCCACGGGGACCGTGATGAAGGCAGGCAGCATCCTGCAAACCCCGTGCAGTGATGGGGCAGGTGCTTGGTCGGGGCTCCAACCCTGATGGGAATACTCCCCAAAACACAGCTCCCAGCCTCTGGGTTTTTCATTGCTGTTGAAAAATACATGGGAAGTTAATGTGGCTCAGCTAATTAAATCTCTCCCTGGCTTTTAAGACATCTGTCTGAAGTAGGAGTTACCCCATGCCATCAGCAGCACCCAGCCTGGAGGGCAGGGGCCAGGCAGCCTTCCCAGGGATCTTACAGCTGCGGCTGTCTCAGAGGCTACACGAGATGACCTCTGTTTAGTTCCTAATGTGGGACAGGGCCTCCAAAAACATAGGGTTCCCTTTGTAAGTCACGGAAAACATTTATTAATGAAAAAAAAAAAGAGTTCTCATTCAGCTTAAGCAAGGAAAGCAGCCTGCTCCCCCACTTGACTTCATTCTTTTTCAAAGAAACAACCAAGCTCATGTATACAGTTTGAAGGAAAGGCGAAGGAATTAAATTAAACTAAAAGTGATGAGTGAGTTATCTGGGTTCTCCCGTATGCTAGAGAAAATGTGCCATTTAACCAGCCTCTTGGGGGAGGAAGGGAAGTGACGGGAAAAGAATGAGGTCAAAATTAAAGAATCCCCACGAGATAAATAATATTGTCCATACTTTCCCCTCTCCATGCTCCAGAGTGAAACTTCACGTTTTACTGAACTAAATGTTCCTCCATATGCATCTTTCACTGTTTTGTTTCATTTTCCCCTCTACTGATCTACTCTTTGGGAGCAGAAGAAGATGAAAATTGAAAACAACCTGAGAGATCTCAATCAAATTATCCCATTGGACTCCATAGTGTGTCCTGAAAAATAGTCGGAAGAAAGACTAATTATGCCAGGCTAACAACACTGAACACGACTCTCCAGCTTTCTGTGATGAACTCACTAAACATCTTGATTAAATCTGAGGTCACGGAAGCCTCAAAAACAAATTAAATGCTCTAGAAAGTAGCTTGAACTCCTATAAACCCCCAGTGGACCATCATCACTCACACTTAACTCTCTCAGGACTGGGCAATAGCTCGAAGGGAGCATATCGGGGAATTAATGTTTGTGAAACACTTAAGGAAAGACACATTTGTTGTGTAGGGCAGGCGAGGGCTATTATTAGAATTAGAAGGAATTTATGAAGAAAAAAAATCAGAAAGTGCCCTGAAATCTTCTGGTGTACGTCCCGATTTTTTTTCTCCCATCTTCTCACGCCGTTAGTGCTCCCAGTAGTTTCTCTGCAGGAGAGGAGCTTGGAGCCTGGAATGATCACAAGGGCTGTGGTTCTGCCCCTATATTTTTCTCTCTCTTTTTGCACCATTTTTCAGGGCTGCTTTTCCGTGCGCCTTACTTTGATGCAAGCATCTAAAATAAATGAAGCTTTGCTGAGCAAAACTTCCTTCCTCCATGTATGAGTGATCTTTGCTTGTTTCATAAACGTTTTCTTGCTTTGAGAAGCCAATGTAGAAATATTTTTTAGCCCAAGAAAACACAAAAGTTCATGCTGGATACAATGTTGATGTAATTGCCCGTTCAGTCATAGTCATTAATACACATCTTGACATGAGAGTTTATTAATAGAAACATCAATTTGCCATGTTGACTTGCAATAACATTTCTGTTCTAAACAAACGTAAATAAGAAGACGTTCATGCACTTGGGATTTTCACTTGTGCTAAAAAAAATATGTAAGTACTGTACTCATATGCAGGCAATTTTGCAGCTGATGCACACTTCTGTGTACACATTTGCTCTTTTCCTCACTTTTTTTTTCTTTAAAAATAATTTATTTAAAATTAACATTCCTATACCACTTGGGGAAAAAACATCGGCTACAACCTGTACTGAGTGAAATGCTTTTAATTTTGAAAACTTCATGCCTGAAAGAGAGTAACTTTAATGGAGCTGATCAGATCTTTTGTTTCTAAATTGATTGCCTCAATAGATTTATTATTTTGATTTTTATTTCAATATTACATTGACTGATGGAGCAAACATTATTATCTTCTCTGAGGCACAGTCAACTAAATCAATACCACTAAAATATACTCAGAGAATGAAGATTCAATTAAAACGGTGTGTACTTGCAAATGCTTATTGACTGCCTGCCTTGTCACTACAGCCAGTTCCAGAAGAACTACAAAATGGGGAAGGTTTTGGCTACATCATTATGTTTCGTCCTCTTGGCTCAACAACCTGGACAAAAGCAGTGGTGGCTTCAGTAGAAGCAAACAAATATGTTTACAGGAATGAAAGCATTACACCCCTCTCTCCTTTTGAAGTGAAAGTCGGGGTCTACAACAACGAAGGAGAAGGAACCCTGAGCTCCGTATCCATTGTCTACTCAGGAGAAGACGGTAACACGCGTTACTCTTATTAGTAATGGTTGTGTAGCAGCAACAGGTCCCAGATATGATCAGACACATCTCCACAGGGATATTAAGGAGCTTGCTCAAAGCTGCTCATTGAAGATTGACAAGAAACACGAGGCGGAAGGTGGGAAATTGGAGTAAACAAAAGCAAGGGGCAGATTTTCAGAATCGCTTTAAGTAGACAGCATGTTTCAACTTCTTTGTCCCCAAGAAGCTCCAACTCCATGGGCTGGGAAAATCAGGAGACATTCAAAAGCATGGCTCTCAGAGGGTCTAGGTTTTCAGACCACTCAGTGCAGCTGATTTCTGAAAAATCTGTCCCAGCTTATGGGTAATGACCAATTTTGGAAATTTATGGGTTTGTTGGTGTTCCAGAATAAACGGGCAGCAAAGCTAAGGATTCACAGCGGGTTCCCTGAGCCCCTGCCTGCTGCTTCCCCCCACGATCTCTTCCTCTTTCTTGAATCTCCCTCAGTTTTGGCAAAGCACTCTTTTGGTAACACAAATGTTCCACCAGCTGTGTTTTCTCCCACCACCCAGAGCCGCAGATAGCACCAGCGGGGGCTTCAGCACTGAGTGTTTCGGCGGCAGAGGTGGAGGTCTCCTGGCAGCCCATCGCGTGGAACAGGCACACGGGCAGGGTGCTGGGCTATGAGGTGAGGCAGCTGGTGCTGGTGCCTGGCACCTTACAGATGTCTCTTTCCCAGCCACATTTGTATTCTGGTTCCTCTTCTTTTGCTTCCAAGTTAACAGACAACGGAGCTCTCCACCCGACTCTCATTAGTAACATTTCACCTGCGATAATCAGAAGCATTTAGAGACCAGGACTGCAGCTCTGTCCCAGAATTTTTGTAATGTAAATTAAAACCTCAGGATGAATCATTTGTGGTGGCCACTATAAAAGGACTCATGCTTGACTCCACGAAACAAAGCTGATCCTCCTCTTCTTACACAGCTGTGACGCTTTCTGAGCACGATGGGGTATTTGATAGCTTGAGGGCACGCACACGACCCATAGCATCGCTTACCAAAGAAACCAGGATAAATGCACTTCATTTCTGTCCAAAGCTCGTGCTGCGGCGTATTTGAAAGGCTTTTGGCTTCTCATTCCTGTTCGTAGTGAGCATTTACCAATAACCGACAGGCTCTTTGCCCTGTGCACTGGGGTGCGTTGCTGGTGTGGCGGCGCCAAGTCCAGGGCCGGATCCAGGAGCAGATATTTCAGGGTCTGAGCAGGGGGAGCTGTGAGGATGCATGGATGCTGCCAGACCCCCGTGGCACTCGGCTAGCTGGGCTGCTTCTGGCTTCGCTCTGGACTCCAGCACCCACAGGGAGCGGGAATGATTCCGGGGCATTTTACTTGCACGGTGAAACAATTATTTTTTATCTTTTAGATAAGATAAACCAAGAGTGAAGCAAGTCAGAAACACTTTAAATTCTGTCCTACCCCTACAAATGTATAAACAAAGAGAATAGGAGTCATGTGCAGTACACAAAGCTTTCTAAATCAATTATTCACTGAAAAAAAACCCCACAGGTCTAAATAGCTGTCACCGAATCAAAACTAGAGGCAGGATACAAAATAATTAAAAAACCTCTTAGATGACTGAGATAAATGTTTTGTTGTATCTTTTAAAGTTTTCTTCAAATGTGTTCAAACCATAAAACCAAACAAGCTTTTAAAATTTCTCACCTTACCAAAGGTTTCCTTTTGGCCATCTATAAAGTTAAGGATTTCATTTACTTCCTTAATTGGTACGCAGTCTCTGAAATTTTATTTCTTCTCTATAAATATTCATGCTTGGGTTTATTTCCTGCTAGTTTTGAATACAAAAAATCCTGTATTCCTTGAAATCTTCATTGTTAGCATGTCTGCCTCCCCGCCAAATCTGTAATTGATGGGAAACAAGGAATTGCCTGGTTTTTGTTCTCGCTTTTCAGGTTTTATATTGGACTGATGATCCCAAGGAAAGCACAGCTGGTAAAGTCAGAGTCAATGGGAACATAACAGCCAAAAATATCACAGGACTAAAAGCTAACACAGTGTATTTTGCAACAGTTCGAGCTTACAACACTGCAGGGATGGGGCCCTCTAGCACCCCGGTAAATGTCACCACTAAAAAATCACGTGAGTATTCAATTTTGTACAACAAATGTTGCAAACTCCCAAGTGTGATAGTGACATTTCAGCTTACCGTGCCCCATGGCTGATAAATGTTGCAATATCGAAGCAAACCAGATCCCAAATTTCTTCATAAAATTAAGCAACAAAATCTGTGGCTAAGAAACTTTTCCATCTCTTCCCTGATGATATTTCTGTGGTCACCATCAAATTTATTCACACTCTGGTGTTAAGGTTATTAACATTATATTTAGCCTGGGCTTCAGCTCTGTCTCAATGAAAGCCAAAATTCTCATCAACTTAAATCAGGCCTGGGAAGGTTATTTCATTTACCCTGTTTGATTTATATGCTAAAGCAATTCTGTACACCTACAACATTAGGTAACGCTGGTGTTTGTGTTCCTATAGAGTAGCAACCGTTGGGAAGGATTTCCTTCTGCATTGCAAGGGCATGCCACTTGCTTTCACAAGATCTCAAAAGGGATGCAGAGTCAGTAAAGGAAAGATGTTCCACAGGTCCGACAATAGAGTTAGGGGTGGGAATATGGGTTTGGTTTTTTTAAAGGAAAATATTCAATGCTCCAAATAAAGTGCTTTTTTGAGACCTTTAAACTGTGCACTCCTGATGGCAGCATATGGGATACATTCATATAAATACTATTTAGTCATTAATTTTTTTAATTTTTGGCAATTGTAGAAGCAAAACCATATGCTAGTCTGCTTGTGAGAAGCAACTTCATGAAACCAATGCTTTCATAGGCCCATCCTCCAAGTTAATAAGGAAGAACTGAGCATCCTCCTGTGGGATTGAACCCATGAAGTAAATGTTCACTAAGAGCAGTTGTAAAGAAGGAAATCTTGATAATCTGCTATGTACCCAGGTGCCCCAAAGTCATCACTGTTGAAGCATTCCAGGTTTTTTATACTTTCCTTGGACTGTGTTTTCCCAGTAAGCAACTGATGAGCCCTTTTGCACAAAAAGGGAAATATTTCTCCTGTCTTTCACCAGTTCTTAAATGTGCTGTTGCATGGATTACTGAAGTGCAAGACAGGAACCAAGTTGTACAATGTGTTCATGATAAAAGTTACCATTTAATGTAAGTAACATAAACCGAAATAAAGCTAGAGAAGGTATTTTTTAAGGACTCAAACAGAACTCTTCTCACAGGCAATTTATTAATGGAAAATAGACTCATGTCTGGAAATTATTCTCTATATCTGTATGTGCATATGTATGAAAGACAAGTTAAAGACATGGCAGTCAAGTGACAAGACATTTAAGGAATAAATTTGCTTTTGTTTTACATTGGCTTAATCTTCTGTCAAATTCAGGATTGTGCTAATGGTTCACTTAAAAATTAAAGTAAAAATAACCCTTTTACTATTTAAAAACTTATATTAAAATTTTAAGCTCTAGTCTCTGAAAGATGCAAGCACTTTCAACAGGAGTAGAGGCAATATGTCAAGAGAATATAAACAATGTACGTCTAGAGCAGGAGCTTTAGCGTCAAGGTAATAGCTCTATCTTCCTACTCACTGTCCATGATTCCTATAATGTTCTGTGCGTGCCATTACTGTAAAGACTAAGCACCAGCAATTTATTCTGCCTCCCTGGGAAATGAAAGAAGTTATGGAGTATTACCAAATCAACACTTCCAAGTTAGATACATTAATCGTCAATAGATAGGAACTGTAGGAGAAAAGAAGGATCCCAGGTGTTAAGCATTTTATACTCAGGTCTGGGATACTCCCAACATGTTTCTCCAAATCTCTCCTTCTTTTCTTAATTCTATTCAAGTCCTTATTTCCTCGAACACCCCCAGTGCCGTCCTCCCAGGCAGGGTCCAGGAGGACACACCATGGAGAAGGAGCTAATGTGTTGTTCTAAATCTGAGATACAGTTCAAACACACAGTTTCGACTTCACATGTTCACACAGGATTCGATTTCAGTCACTCGTAGGCAAATTTTCAAAGTCCTGGCACTTAGGCATAAAAAGCCTTTGAAAAGCTACTCTCAGCCTATTGTGCTGAGAATTTATAAAATCCTACAATGTTTCATGATGGATCACATGGAGACTTTAATGTGTAGCTCTTTGTAACCTGTCCTCATGGCTGATGAAAACTTGTCTTTTGTATTTTGCTCTTACTTTTAGCTTTTTCTGAAATCCATACAGCAAAACATTCCCTCGTACATTAAAATACAGATAAGAACAACATAGTACTTAAACAAAATCTATCAAATATAACTTGAACTGTCAGGTACTGTCAGGCTTTTCCTAATTTCGAAAATGAACTCTCACAGTAAGTGGGTTTGTGCTATGAATAGGTCTTTATTCTGACTAATACGAGAGAAATGATGGACTGGAAAGTATTTTTTACTCTTTTAGATTTGAATCACCCATGCATTTGCTACTTCCATGTCAGCAGCTCATTCAATTATGCTATGCAAATTAATATGCAGTTGTATCTTGTGATTATCATCATCATCTTTTTTTTAAAGCACCGAGTCAACCCCCCGCAAACATTGCCTGGAAGCTGACAAATTCCAAAATCTGCTTGAACTGGGAACACGTAAAAACCATGGAGAATGAATCAGAGGTGCTAGGCTACAAAGTAAGTAATTTCTTTGTCTCATTAACCACATATGTTGTTTATAACAGAGGGACAAACAGTGACTTGTTGAAATGCGGCTGCTGATTACCTGGAAAACAGTGACTTTTCTGGAGTTCCTGGGATAGTTGGCTGACATTTATACAAATGGAAGAAGAGCAATGCTCATTCAGAGCAGGACCTCTTTATCTCAACACGGGGATTTTCTGTCCCCAACGCTAGATATCTCTTGTCTCCTTTCCCTTGTACTCATGTAAGATTCTTGCATTCACTTCTTCTTTGGAAAGGAGTTTCATACGTATATAAGAGGTAGAGAACAGTCTCTTAGGCATTAGACAGGTATAAAACACATTTAATAGTTCTCACTCTCTGGCAATTCATAAATATACCTTTGAAAATAGACAGGAAGATACTCACATAAAAATCAATGTGAGCGAAGTAAAATGCACTTCCATAAATCTATTCTTTAAGGAAAGGAGAATTTAGTTTAAAGTTGGTTTGCAGTGGCTCTGACCCCAAAAGACTTATGGAAAGACTTTTTCACTCCTAAAGGACTGTAAAAATAGAGGTGGAGAGTGCTTACATGAGGAAAGGTTCTCAGGATCCAGATCCTCATGTTGCTAAGCATTTTAGTGTCTACACAGAGTTATTTATGCCTAGGGAAGAAAAGGACACAACTCCCCCCCACCTTTCTTGAGATCATATTCTTTTCCACCCTAGTGAGTGTGTTTGAGGAGCTCCACATGCTGGGGAAAAAGTTAAAACTAGACGATTAAGCTTTTTTCCTTTGTGTCTAACCTACCTGCTTCCAGGCTACGCTTGCTTATTACATTTTGATGTGGAAAGGGTGCTTCAAATACTTGCTGTGGTATTTACTGTATGATTGCTGCTTCTCCTTCTGCTTTGCTCTTCAGTTGCTCTTCTTAGCATAAATATATCAAAAGATTGTCAAGATAAAGGAGCCAAACACTGTCATTGCTGTGCTAGCAAGGAGGAAAGGCTTCTTGGAGGAAGAAAGCTGACTGTAGTCCGTAGACTCCCTGTCTGGACTCCCCAAGCTGCTCGGCACCTTGGCCCAATGATTCATTAGCAAAAAGTCCCACGTGCAGACAGGCGCTGGATCCGTCACGGTCAGTTGTAGAAATGTGCTTCCTAAGCGGAAACCCAGGCGCTACTATCCAAATTCCTGACCATTCTTGAAGTCTCTAAAAACGCACCGCTATGCAGTGTCTCATGCTTTCTTTAGCAAGTGGTAATTTTACAGAAAAGTCAACGTAAGTTTTTCTATTTGATTCTAAATGCTCACCACAAACAGGTGAAATTTAAAAAAAAAAACCTAAAACTTTAGTTGCCAAAGTGTCACATTAATTCTGGATATAAAAGGTGTTACAGGCTGAAGTCTTGTCGAAGGATATGACTAACTTCCAAATTTAAAGAAGAGCATAAGCATATTGGACAAGGATTTCATAACGCTACTTCCAAGGCGAGCCTCAGTTCTCGCAGGCAAAGGCTCTCCTGCCAAACACGGGGGGAGCAAATGCCCGCTGTGGTCTCCATCACAAAATTCTGCAGAATATATTTCTGTGTTCTGAATTAAGTTTAATACTCTGCAGGATGCTAATAATGCTCTGAAAAGTTTGGGACATCACAGGAGATAGTCTCAGCCAAAAAAAAATCCATTAAAACTTAAAAGAACTTAAGTAACTCTTGTTCTCTAATCCCTTTTTACTTAGATTTTGTATAGACAAAACAGACATAGCAAAACGCATATACTGGAGACAAACAACACTTCAGCTGAACTTCTGGTACCTTTTGAAGAAGATTATCTCATAGAAATAAGAACAGTCAGTGACGGTGGGGATGGCAGCAGCAGTGAGGAAATTAGGATTCCAAAAATATCAAGTATGTGAGGGTTTGGGTTTTTTTTTTTTCCTCTGTGAATTTTATTGTGTAGTAAGAAATCTGTGCGCCTCTAAGAAGTAGAATAGATTAAGAGACTTTCCATTACCGTAGCTGGCCTTCCTCCCGTTGCTTTGCCATGCTGGGTACATGCAGATTAGTCTCTGGTACTCTCGCATTCATTAGCAGAGAAAGTATTTTGCACAACACCTAGATGTGACCTTATTTTTAGCGTAAGTCTCCATCTGCCCTGGCCTGTAATGCTCAGGGAAGGACAGAGAAATAAGCTTTCTTATTAAAGCCAAAGCTGCAGCTCTCACATGTAACGTGGCTCTTAATCTGCTCCGGAGCTGCTGCTGAGGCAGAGAACCTCAGCCGTGCTCCACGGCTGGGGCGGGGGCCCGGGGTGCAGTCTCTGCCCTCATAAATACCATATTACACGTGCAAAATGGAGCATAGTTTTGCAATGAACTAGCCCAAACCCTCCCGAAAGCAGGTATTCACAGGGAGGGTGGGAAGCTGATTCGAAACCATACTCCATGGAACCAATACTGCAACTTAAAAAAATAAAGAAATAGAAATGACATTTGTGGCTAAAGTTTCATTCTGAAAATAGAACAAAGATCACTGTTATGCTAGAATGCATAGAATTTATTTTTTTTTACACAAGTTTACTTCTGTCAGAAAATTTTGTATGCTTCTATTTTTACAGGTTTAAGCTCTGGAGGAATAAAATTGTCCCAAAGGGCAAACCATATATTGTCATCTGGGATCCTGCTGTTGAGTTCTGTTCTTATATACCCGTTTCCTTGATGATTAAAGCAATGCTCAGCAATGGACTTTTTAAAACAAACCACGTGTAGATTTTATCTTAATACTTCACCACGACCAACAGTCCTGATAAAGAAAAGTGGGGATGGGGGAGGGAGATAGAAGTGGTATATGATTAAGAAAACATTAACTATCGATATTACATTAATTTTTAAAAATAAGCTTTGAAATGAATGGATAAATGTGTATGCATTAATTAAATGGAGTGGTGCCAAATATAAGTTGAGGTTGTGAGGGAAGTGGTCTCAAATTTTTTACAAACAGTAGTTCTAAAGGAAACTGCTGTGTAATGGTATGTCGAACATGAAAGTCCTGTGCCAAGCTGTTCTAACTGAGAGAAGAAGAGACTTGCAATTGCTTGTGATGTGGATATTATTTATCTCACATTCTTCAATGTAACCTGTAAAAAAAACCCCACTTTCAATTAAATAAAAGCTATTTGTTTACTTTTTGCACTTCTTTGTATTACAGAGGGTGTCATACAATGCATTACACGAAATGTGCTGTACTATTTTCTTCAGAAAAGGGAAACTTAAATAAAAGGAATCGTATGTACCAACTCAAAGCCCATTGAATTCAATAGAAAGACTTTCAATGGCATCAGCAAGCCTTGAACCAGATCTGAATGAGACAGTACCTTTTATAATATGAGACACCTTACATATTCTCAAACGCATTTTAAAGGCCCTTTTCATGCAAAGACCATTCTGATCAACACAACTAGCAGAGGTGCTGAATACCTTTCCTGAAGGGAGATTGAAATGCATCTGTCTTCAGGCAGGTTCAACTGCTCTCTCACCTGATGTTGTTATTCTGTGCTACAGCTTGAAAGTGTAGATTCGTCTTTGGGCTGGATATGAAGGTAAATGAGAAGAACATTGATTTTCATCATCTTGAAATATGAATAAAAGCATCTAATTAAGCCCTTCAATCTATTGAGTTACTAGAATGGCAAATTAAACAGCAGAGCGAGCATGGCTTTCAAGCCAATATGTACAGCTCAACATGTGAAGTCATACTCGCGTCAACTTTAACAACATCCGATAAAAGACATTTTTTTGTTTCATCATTGGGGGACCTTTTCTTCCTTCCCACTTTGCTCTGAAGTATATTTTCTTTTCACCACTATCAAATACGTGTTGTGTCATCTTTGTAACCATTTATAACTATAAGCAAATCAAATATCACCCGATATTTTTTAAAAGAAAAAAGTTCCAATGGGGATGGTGATGTGTAAGCACACGAATGAGCAAAAGGATAGAGGTTCACCTGTGCATGATAATCCTTCAAGCAGCATATTAAACATGTTTCTTATCTATGGGTGTGGGAGGCCAAGTTGGCAGCAAGAGAGTCTAAAACGTGAATAGGAAGCTACCAAAACTTAGGTACCTGAGCTTACTCACAGAGCCCATGTGCTGGACTTCCAGGGTGAACTCCACACACACTGACATAAAATGCAATCAAAAATTATAAAAACATTGCAAAAGCAGGCGCGACAGAACGATGTCCAATTTTGATCTAAGGCCTCCAGAGGATGAAAAGGATATTAAGTCCCTAGACAAGGCATTTCACTTGGAGTTGCACTCACCGTGAGACATTTGCTTCTTGTGTTGACCCTACCAAAGCCACAAGAGAGCATGTTCCGTGTTCTCATGGCTGTGCAGCTGCAGTCTCACTAAAGAAGTGACTGTAGAAACTTGGGGGGGGTTTCTTTATTGTGGATAAGCAAATATCACTCACTCCTGGTGATGTTTAATGATCCCCAATACGGAATTTGACAAAATGTTTCACAGAGTTGACCACTATTTTGTGGAGCTCTGACAGAGCTTTTTGCATCACCCCTTCCCAGCAGCTCTCCAGAAGGAGCTGCCCTCTGCCATGGCGGCTCACTTGCACTCCTTCTTGTGCCATTTTTTCCAGTTAAACTGAATCTAAAATTCTTATATTTCATAACATAAATGCAATCCTTCTGCTAAGTTTAAACAAAACGTCTCTTTTTATTCAAGCAAAGAGAGATTTTCTGTAGAGCAGTTCTATACAACAGAATAGAAGGCCTGAGAGATGCTTAATTACAGGGACTCTCCAGAAATATAATGCCACTTTTGCAAGCCTGTCCTCTGGGATTTCTACAAAGATGCTAATCGCAGGCGTTATTAGGGAGAGGTTTAACATAGCTTTCAAAAGAAAAGAGCAGTTTAGTAAGAAGTGGATATGGTATTAATAATCTTGATAATACCCTAATGAAGTAAAAACATTTTCCTTTGCAGTGAAACTAAACACTGAATCATTTCTTCAGATTTGCTTTCATTTCTGTGTGCATTACTGATGTTCTTCACAAGGTACTTGTCTCCCTGTAGAAGATACTTTTCAAAATCAGGCTCTTGATGTCTCCAGTGTTTAACCTCATAACTGCTGCATTAGGCCTGTTCTGTCATTCCCATGGGAGTAGCCCTTTTTAAAGTAAGGGACAACCTAGGAAGACCACTAACACGAGTAAAGCTATTCCCTTGCCAAATTCCCTTAGGGCTGGAGCAAAGGGGACTGCCGAGTGACTGTTCTGACCTGGGAGCAGAAATTCTAGGCAGTCTTAAGGAGAATACCTTTAAATGTGGTACAGGCTGCAGAGGTGGGCCTGTGTGAACCTCATGAGGTTCAACAAGGCCAAGTGCAAGGTCCTGCACCTGGGTCAGGGTAACCCCCAGTATCAGTACAGGCTGGGGGAAGAAAGGATCGAGAGCAGCCCTGCCGAGAGGGACTTGGGGGTGCTGGTGGATGAAAAGCTGGACATGAGCCGGCAATGTGCGCTGGCAGCCCAGAAGGCCAACCGTACTCTGGGCTGCATC